GCAAGTGGATTGCCTGAGCCCGTGGGTTCAAGAACAGCCTGGGTAACTCGGCAAGAACTCATTTCTACAAAAAAAATAAAAATAAAAAAATCAGCCAGATGTGGTAGTGCCCCTCTATAGTTCCAGCTACTTGGAAGGCTGAGGTAGAAGGATTGCTGGAGCCTGGCAGGTCGATGCTGAGGTGGCCATGAGTGTGCCACTGCACTCCAGCCTGGGCGACAGAGTGAGACTCCACATAAAAAAAAAAAAAAAAAGATACCTGGAAACAAATGAAAATGAAGAAATATCTTACCTCTGATATCCCAGAAACCTCTGGGATGCCATGAAATCAGAACTAAGAGGGGAATTCATATCTCTATGAACACACATGAAGAAAATGGAAATATCACAAGTTAACAGCCTAACAAATCACCTAAACTGGAAAAGCAAGATCGTCAAAACTCTAACTTCAATGGAAAAATCCAGATCACCAAAATAAAAGCCCAAATTTGGGACATAGAAGACAAAAAGATAATGCAAAAAAAAAAAAATCAACAAAACAAAAAGCTTGTTCTTTGAAAGGATAAACAAGATTGATGGACCCCTAGTTAGAATGACCAAGAAAAAGAGAGAAAAAGTTCAAATAAATACAACCAGAAATGCAAAAGATCAGTCACAACTGACCCTGAAGAAATACAAACGATTATCAGAGACTACTATATACACTTATGGAAACAAACTTGAAAACCTAAAGGAAGTGTAGGACTTTCTAACATCACACGACTTCGCCAGGTTGAAACAAGAAAAAAATTGAGATCCTAAATAGACCAATAACAATCCAGGAAATTGACTATGTCATAAAAGTACCTACAAAAAAAAAAAAATCACTGGACCAGATTGCTTTCCAGCAGAATTCTACAAAACATAAAAGAAGGAACTGATACCAATCCTACTGAAAGTATTTCATGCAATCGAGAAAGATGGAACTCTACCCAAGGAATTTTATGAAGCTAACATCACATTGATACCCAAACCAGGTAAAGATCCAACAAAGGAAGAGAACTATAGGCCAACATCCTCGATTACCATGGATGCTGAAATTCTCAACAAGGTCTTAGCAAATTGGATCCAACAACACATCTCAAAAATCATCCCCCACGACCAAGTAGGCTTCATTCCCAGGATGCAGGGCAGGTTCAACATTCGTAAGACCATAAATGTAATTAAATTCATCAACAGATATAAAAACAAAAACCACATACTTATATAATTAGACCCAGAAAAAGCTTTTGATAAAATCCAGCACTCCTTTTTGATAAAAACCCTCGAACATCTAGGCATAGATGGAACATACCTCAAAATAAGAGTCATCTATGAGAAACCCACAGCCAGCATACTACTAAACAGACAGAAATTGGAACCATTTCCCCTGAAAACTGGAACAAGAAAAGAATGCCAGCTCTCACCCATCCTTTTCAACATAGTTTTGGAAGTCCTAGCTAGAGCTATCAGACAATAGAAGGAGATCAGGGTATCCAAATAGGAAAAGAGGAAGTCATGTATCCCCCTTTGCAGACGACATGATGCTGTACCTCAAAAACCTAAGAGAATCTGTCAAAACCTCCTTGCACTGATAAAGGACTTTAGCAATGTCTCAGGGTCTAAAATAAATGTGCAAAAGACAGTCACATTTCTATACATCAACAATAAACAGAAACCCAAATAAAAAGCACAATCCCATTCACAATAGCCACAAAAAAAATCAAATACCTTGAAATCTTCCTAACGAGAGACGTGAAAAACCTTTACATTGAAATCTACAAAACACTGCTCAAAGAAATCAAGGATGACACAAACAAATGGGAAAATATCCTATGCTCATGGATTGAAAGAATCAACGTTGTTAAGATGTCCATCCTACCCAGGGCAACATACAGATTTAATGCAATACCCATTAAATTACCAGCAGCATTCTTCTCAGATCTGGAAATGGCAATACAGGAATTCATATGGAAACATAAATGACCACGAATCGCCAAAACAATCCTCAGCCAAAAAAAAAAAAAAAAAAAAGCAGGAGGTATCACACTCTCAGACTTTAAACTTTATTATAAAGCTACAATAAACAAAATATCCTGGTATTGGTACAAGAACAAGCATATAGACCAATGAAACAGGATAGAGATTCCAGAAGCAAGACGTCAATTTCTCAACCAACTCATCTTCTACAAAGCCTCCACCAACAACCACTGGGGAGAGGAGAACTTAGTAAATGGTGCTGGGAAAACTGGCTGACCACATGCAGAAGATTAAAACAAGACCCCAAACCAACTACCATACACAAAAGTTAACTCTAAGTCGAATAAAGACCCAAATGTAAAACCTCAAACTATAAGAACCTTAGAAAATGCAGGAGACACCCTTGTGGAAATTGGAACTGGGAACCAATTTCTGATCAAAACCCCAAGTGTCCATGCCATAAAAGATAAGATAAATAAGTGGGACCTCATTAAATTGACAAGTTTCTGCAAAGTCAAAGAAACCATCAAGAGAGCAGGAAGATAGTCCATAGACTGGGAAAAAATATTTGCCAACTGTATTTCTGACAAAGACCTAACATCTAGGATCTATAAGGAACTCAAATGTGTCAAAAAGAAAAAAAACAAACATCCCCATTACAAAGTGGGCAAAAGATATGAATAGACACTTCTCAAAAGAAGACATATGCACAGCTAACAGGTACATGAAAAAATGCTCAGCCTCATTAATCATCAAAGGAATGCAAATCAAAAGCATATTGAGATACCACTTAACTCCATTCAGGATGACTATCATCAATAACTCAAAAAACAACAGATACTGGAGAGGATACGGCTAAAAGGGAACACTTCTACACTTGGTGGGAGTGTAAACTAGTACAGCCTCTGTGGAAAACAGTGTGGCGATTCCTAAAAGATCAAAAAATCGACTTTCCATATGACCTGGCAACCCCCTTCTGGGAATATGCCCAGAGGAATTCAAATCACTCTATGAAAAAGATGCCTGCACATGTATGTTTATTGCAGCATTGCCCACAATAGGAAGAACATGGAACCAACCATGCTGCCCATCGAAATGGGACTGGATTAAAAAAAATGTAGCACATATACATGATGGAATATTACCCAGCCATAAAGAAGGACAAAATCATAAACTTCACAACAAGCTGGGTGGATTTAGAGTCTATAATACTGAGCGATCTATCACAGAAACAAAAAACTGAGTATCACATGTTCTCACTCATAAGTGGACCTTGAACAATTATTGTAATACTATAAGAAAAGGATTGGCAGTAGCGGGAAACTGCTGTGGGTGGGGGGAGAGGCGAGATTGGAAGTAGTGGGAATCTGCCAGGGGAAGGGGGACACACCTCATCAACAAAGGTACCTGCATAATGAACATCTGTATACCTAACCCTGAATTGTATCCCACATCTTTAAAATAAAAAAATTAAAAGTAAAAAAAGAGAAAAAGACGAGATACGGAACTGAGAGAAATGAAGGACTCAAAGATGACCTTTTAAAAGTGATTCACATCTTGATGGGTAAGGAGCAGTGGAGGAAAAATTACATTTTTTTGTAGAGTGTTAGTGACAGGGCAGAGAAAATTATGAATTGAGTCTGGAGCATGTGACATTGCAGTGTCTCTGAGACCCTGGGGTGGAGGCATGGAGGAGATGGAGTTGAGTTGGCTATTCCTGGATTTGGAGGCTGGAGAGAGTCTGAGCTGGAGGTATCATTAGAGGAACTAATCAGGGAATGTACGTGTGGAAATTGACACCATGGATGTGAATGTGAGCGCGCAGGGAAGAGTAGAGAATGAGAAAGGAAGGGGGCATTGCATCAGGACTTTTCCTAGACGGTTTTTAGGGGTAAAGGAAAAGAGAAGAGAATCATTTGCTACAAAGATCCCTTTAAAAATGTAGCTGGGGCCTCAGCGCGGTGGCTCAAGTCTGTAACCCCAGAACTTTGGAAGGTTGAGGCAAGAGGATTGCCAGGGGTTCAAGAGAAGCCTGGGCAAATTGGTGAGACTTTGTCTCGACAATAAACCAAAAAATTAGCCAGGCATGGTGGTGTGTGTCTGTAGTTCCAGCTACTTGGAAGACTGAAGCGGAAGGATTGCCTGAGCCCAGCAGGTAGAGGCTGCGGTGGCCGTGAGCAAGCCACTGCACTCCAGCCTGGGCGACAGGGTGAGATTCCAACTCAAAAATAAAAATATGTAACTGGGAAATGAGCATTTTTGAAAAAAAAATGAAGTGTTCCACTTGGAGGTGCATATTGGCTCTTTTGCATTTGGGGAGTTTCTGTTAAAGCAGGGTGATCTCAACGGAATGTACGGAGAGAAAACCACTGAGGAGAAACAGAGCTGGCAGCAACCCTGAGTCTTGGCTTCATTCAAAGTCTCAAATATTCAGCTGGTTTCTGAGAGAATGAAGATCTCTTCCTAAATGCTAGTATCTCATGACTTGCTTCTAAAATAGTTTTAATAAAAGTTAAAATTAGTAAACATATTGGGCTTAATATAGTCCATCAGGATGTAAACAAGGAATAGCCCTAGATAACCCTGCTGTGGAAACTGCAATAGCAACAAGGAAGTGGCCACTAGTCATGTATGTCCTGGACTTATAAGGGCCTCCCCCAGCAGAAGGAGGCATCAGACTTCCCTCACCTCTCCTGAGTCCTCCCTCCTTACTTCACCTGAGTCCTCTCTAGTGACGCCATGGGTTGCTGTGGTTGTGGTGGCTGCGGTGGTTGTGGTGGCTGCGGTGGTGGCTGTGGTGGCTGTGGCGGCTGCGGTGGTGGCTGTGGTGGCTGTGGTGGTTGTGGTGGCTGTG